GACCTAATTATCTTGCCTTTACTTGTTGCTGCATCATTTGGGGTCGGTCACAGTCTGTCAATTCCGACTTCATTGTACTCCTACATCCACAATTTTGAGAAATACTGTAAGGGGGGCGCCCAATATATGCGGGTGCCGTGCAATCCATTAAGTACGGAGTATAACGTTATGCGGAAATGCCATAAAAACCCGGATTACAGCAACTTATGTCTCCCGTCTACGTTTTCTAGCCAGGCGTGCAAATGTGACCATCTTCATTTGGGACATACGAAGCTGACGTCTACGTTCAGTGAAACCCCTGGATGATGGCAAATTGGCAATTATAGTGCCAAATGCAATGCAGCTATAGCCGTGGCCGAGGTGTAGGGACGACCCAAACCAGTGCCAATCGAGGTCTTATAAACGTTTTGGAGCTCCTGCACCGCGAACTTCCACTCACACAAGATATTGCCTTGATTCTTGGTCAAGTCCCGTGACTTGATCTTGTACAGCCAGCTAGCAACGACAGTACAGTACAGTACCTTAGAGCCTAGAGCCTGGTCCTACTGGTGTTGTGGAGCATCCGTCAGAGGGAGGATCTCCCTGGCGGATGCTCCACACCTCCAGTAGGACTAACCAACCACTACTACCACAGCCACACCCACCACCACATCAATCACTAGTACTGCTCATCCTACGACCACCAGAGCAAGACCAACCACTACTACCATAGCCACACCTAACACCACAGTAATCACTACTGCTCATCCTACGACCACCACAGCCAGACCAACCACTACTACCACAGCCAGGTGGTGTGGAGTATCCGCCAGAGGGAGTATCCCCCTGACGGATGCTCCACACCTCCAGTAGTACCAGACTGTCGTTGCTAGCTGGCGGGTTGCAGGCATTATCTGCCAATCTGACATGGTCAAAATGCACTTATTACCAATCAATGGGTACAGGACATTCGGTCCGACTTTCTTCTGTCAATTTCTCAGTCTAATTTTGACTTCGCTTTTGTATATAATTAATATTACAACGAACAAGAAAGTCCGACAAATCCTGTATATCCTATCCGACTTTTTTCCACTAATGTATTGGTATTGGAATTTGCACGAACAGATACTGATTCGTCAAAATATTAAATTCCTTGGATATGATTGGCCAATTGATTTCATGTGAGCGTCGACCAAGACATTGCCCAGAGAGCCTCGCCATGCTTACGAGTGCCAAGTCAAGGTGCATATCGCGGCCAGTACACCTAAGTGTATATATGTAGAAGTCATGTATCGAAGTCAATACCGCATATCTCTTCTGCGCTTACATAGAGCCTCCATTCTACGAATGATTACGGCACTATACTGCGTTTCTGTCTTTCGCACAAGGCCGCTTGCTTTGACGTAAAAGATGTAATCTTGCTCAAACTCCTACCGATACAGTTTGCTCACACTTGTGTGGCCATATATCGGTAAATTAAAGTTAGCGTGCATTTCGAGCTGCACGGTACATGTCCACGATAGTGTTGTCGAACGAGTTTTCAACATCCACCTTTTATGTAGTAAGTATGTCACGAGTGTTGAGAGCATTCAGTTGTAGAGTCAGCCTTCAAATCGAGTTATCGTCCACGGCAACCAAGTGAGGAAGGAACGGAGGATAAAGAGCAAGTAGAAATGCAAAGTGTATCAAAACTGCCATATTTTGGATGTCTAGTCTGCCGCCCTATTGCAGGCTAACGTTATGCGCTTTCCTGCGATCCTCAAATGTGGTTGCAGCATTGTTGAAAATGCAGTTAACTTATCCCAACACATCGAGCTCGATGT